ATGCATCAAAACTTGTTTGAACAATCATGGAAACAAAATATTTTTCTCTTGTGTTTTATTTCTTTAAAGAGGGAGTAAGGCTAGGGTATTCTATATACAAACTGCTGCAGGGACATCAAGAATAAAGGTTATGGGAACGGCAGGTTCAGTACACAATGATTTTCCGTTGTTAACCTTGGGGTGGATTGGACTGTGTCCAGGCATCGCAGTCACAGTAAGTAATGAATTTCTTTTTTCTTCTACATCTTTGCACTATTATTGTGTCTGTCTCATGCAGTCACTCTTTTTTTACATTTTTATTTTGGTATAAAGATTGGTGGGTTGTGGGTGTTTGAGTGTGACCCTCTGTTGTGTGTTCCTTTTGTGTGTTGGGGTTGCTACCCGCACCGCCCACGTAATGAAAACACATTTCTTTGTTCTCACCTTCTCTCTCGGTGGTGTCACTCACACGGCATTGCCACGAACATATTTCTGCCCTTGTGGTGTGTGTTGTTTGTTGTGTGGCTTGTTTGAGTGACTGCAGCCTGCGGGGAGATGGACTGAGACTGTTCCGCTTCGGCTTCACGTAATGGGTCTGTTTTTTTTGTTTTATCTTTTTGGGGGTTGAGTTTGTGTGCTGGTGTGGGTGGATGTTTTTCTCTGATGGGAGTGGCACCTGTGATTATTGTATTGTGAGTGCTTTGTGTGTTGTTGGTATCCTGTTTTTGTTGTTTTTCTTCTCTTGTGTTTTTCTTTTCCTCTCTGTGGGTGTGTGACTCCGTGTACATTTTAGGGAATGCGGCAGTGCCTCTCTGATATGAGCATGTGAGACGGTCATTGTGTGTGTGTGTGTGAGGTCTGTGAGTGGGAAGGACACCGTTGTGTTGTTGGACCACTCCACTGCGGCCTCTGTGGGGTTTGTGTGTGTGCGGCATGCTTCGCTTCGGCGGGGCTCGAGGAGGGGCACTTTACGCGTCCCGAGGCGCTGAACCTTGAGGCCTGAAATATCACATGCTCAGGGACTTTGAACTTGAGAGAAAAAGAAGAGTGAGGATGAGGAAAAAAAAAGGATGAAACCCGGCAACCAGTCTACGCGCGCAATGCT